AATACAAACCGAATCGATCAAACATTGCAAACCATACAAACATTACAAAATTTGTCAACAAACATCACAAATCCAACACTGTCGCCGGGAAATCCTTCTTCGCCGTCGCTGATCGCCGAAAAATCTCCTTCGATCATAACCAAATCCCTCTCTCTCTCTCTCTCTCTCTCTCTTTTGACAAAAGATAATCATATATCGATAAGAACAAGAAGATCATTACATCCTGGAAAACAACTAGGTAGCAAAATAAAAAATGCGACAAGTAGACGGGTAATCGGGTATAATGTAAGGGCCCTTTTAGCCACCAAATGTGCTACCCTATTACTACTCCGACCTACAAATCGAACACCGAGCCCTGAATGGAGCCAGAAGAACCGCACCACCTCTTCAAGAATGAGACCCACCCGACTATCCCTGGTATCTGCCTGGTTGATCTTATCAATAATTACTTTGGCATCGCCTTCAAAGTGTGTCTTCGAGAACCCATTCGTCAAACACCAAATAATAGCCTCCCGAAGCACTAGCAATTCAACCACTAGAGGATCATCAATGCCCGGGAACTAAACCCCCTTAACCAACAGGATCCTACCATTGTTTTCTTTAATAAGCATACCACCTACCGAGTGCGACCCACGCTTCGTAGCCCCATCTCATTGACAAACTACAACATGTGAGTGAACTGCCACTGACGCCGGTATGGAATGGTTAAGTGAACGCATAGGAGACAACACAGGCAAGTTAACCCACTCCTGGAACTGTTGATGAAACTGCATCATCAACACTTGGATCCCAAACTGCTTGCCCTCAAAGACAACCCAATTCCGGGATCGCCAGGTCCTCCAAAGGATCGCAACAACTGCTAAAAACAATTGAGGATGATGGATCAAGTTCATCAATTTTTTCAGGAATAGAGGAAAGGTATGTCGTGGCAGACCCTACCCCAAATATTCAAGGCCTGAGTGATCCCATAAGGCCCTAGACACCGGACACTCGAAAAACAAATGTTCCATCATTTCCGATTCAGCCCAGCAAATTGGACACCTAGATAAGACCTGGACCTTTCTTTCAATCAGAGCCTCCGTCGTATGAAGAACACAGTGAAAAATTTGCCACAAAAATATTTTTAACTTAGGCTGAACATCTGCATTCCATAAACGGATCAAACTATCCCGATCCATCCCACTGGCAGTTGATCGCCACAGGCCATCCCGCTTATCCAACAAGACCACCAGATGGTATGCTGATTTGACTGAGAAGACACCATCACACGTGTCATACCAAATGAGCTTGTCCTCCAAGTCTTGACGCGGGAGGGGGATTACCTTGATAGCCCGACACGTAGGGGGATCAAACCATTGTTGCAGTTTGATATCACACCACTCACTGACCCCGTGGACAATGACCTCGTGGAACTTTGGGCCGTCCCCATCTGGTAGCACCCTAGGATTGGAAATAGGAGCCAGAGGGTGCAAACTCGGAACCCAACTAGACGTCAGCATAGAGGCAGTCCGTCCATTCCCAATTTGCCACCTGAGCCCATTGATCAACAGTTGTCGTCCATGAAGGATACTCTTCCATCCCCAAGAAGGACGCGAGCGAGCAGTTGCAATTAAGGATGAGTCAATGGGAAAATACTTCCCCTTATACACTTGGGAAAGAAGAGAATGATGGTCATTCAAAATATTTCAACCAATCTTAACCAAAAGTTCCTGGTTAAAGTGCTCAAAGAGACAGAAACCCATGTCACCATCATGCTTGCTCCGGCATATATTATGCCAAGACACCCAACGAATTCTTGAATGACCCTCATTCCCCCCCACCAGAATCGGGCAACGTGTCTGTAAAGGAGGCGGCAAAGGGAAAGAGGAAGTTTGAAACAAGACATGACATGAAGGGGTAAGGCTAAAGCAACTGCTTTGATCAGAGTTTCCTTAGCCTCCCAAGAGAGAGTCCTCTGCTTCCAGCCCTAAAGACGCTCCAGCAACTTTTCCTCCAGAAAATGAAACGTGGCCATTTTTTATTGGGCAAATAGAGACGGTAATCCAAGATATTTATCATGTACCCCTACCGCCCCTACACCCAAAATCTGGGCTAAAAATTCTTGATCAGGCAGAGCTATGTTCTTAATGAAGCAAACTGCCGATTTCCCCAGATTAACCCTCTATCCACTCAATTCCTCATATTCGTTGAGCACCTCAACCAGGTTCTCACACTCACTAAGGGAGCCTCGAAGGAAAAGATAGGAGTCATCCGCAAAGAAAAGATGCGAAATCCTTGGTGCTCGGGGAGCAACCTTTACTCCTTGAAGCTTCCCTTCGTCAATAGCCCTTCGTAGGAGTGCAGCAAAACCGTAAGTGCACATTACAAACAGAAGAGGAGAGAGTGGATTCCCCTGCCGGAGACCCCTAGACGGGGTAAAATACCCTGGAGGAGTGCCATTCATAAAGATTGAGAACGACGTCGTCTTGAGACATTCCTGGATCCATCTCGCCGGGTGGAATTAAAGCCTAACTTTTCCAAAACCGCAAGAAGAAAAGGCCACTTGACTCTATCATAGGCCTTTTCCATGTCAATCTTTAGAGCCATGTACCCTTTCTTCCCTCGGGTTTTGATTTTCAGATAATGCATTAATTCATGACCTAACAGAACATTTTCCACAATCTGTCGTTCCCGGATGAATGCATTTTGCCCTTCCGAGATGATCTGTGGGAGAAAACGGGCCAGTCTTTCCGTCATGATCTTCGTAATAAATTTATACACAAACTGGCATAAACTTATAGGCCTTAGTTGGCTCATATTCTAAACATTATCCACTTTAGGGATCAACGTGAGCCATGTATGATTGAAGCTTCGGAGAAGCCTATTCATTCTAAAGAAAGAACAGACTGCATCTGTTACGGATTCACCCACAATATCCCAGAAGGATTTGAAGAACTTTCCTGTGAAGTCGTCAGAGCCAGGAGCTTGCTTAGAACCCATGAAAAAAACAGTCCGTTGAACTTCTCCAGGGAGGACTTCGACAGTAAGATCAACATTCATGTTGGCCGTCACTTTACGTGGTATTGGCAGAGCCGCAACTCGAGCTGCCATATCCCATACTTGGTTCTCCGAGGTGAAAAGGTGTTGGTAAAAATTTTTGGCGATATCCGCCTTTCCTTTCTCCTCATTCACCCATTCGCCGCGATCATTATGTAACCCATTAATAAAGTTACGTTTCCTTCTCGTCCGAGTAACCGTATGGAAGTAAGAATTTATCACCCTTCTTGAGCCAACGCACTCTATATTTTTGCTGCCAATACTCCTCTTCCGCCTCCCATTGTCGATTTAGCTCGAATTCCAAAGTTCTCACTTCGTCCCAATTAATGGGGTTATTGAGCTTTAGATTCTCGATTTCTGACTGGAGAGTCTTAATGTTCCGAAGGGAATTTGTCGTTCCCGCACGACTCCCGTCGTAGAGAAGGTGACGAAGCTTCTTTGTTATGGGACAATCCAAGTACCACATCGCAAATACAAGGGAAGGAACTCTTGTATATTAGTGTCCACCAAGCTCATCAGTACGAGGCCTTTTGGGGAGGACACCCAAGAGTAAAACCGTGCGGGCTTGGCCCAAAGCGAACAATATCGTACTAATGGAGTAGCCCGATTTGTGACAAGTGGTATCAGAGCGTGGTTCGGTGTGGGGCGGTGTACGTCAGTTTGGTGGACCCTCATTCGGTGACCTCAGGATTTGAGATCTGTGTTTGTCTGGCGGGTCAAAAGAGATCAGCGTCTGGTTTGGTGGATCCAGGAGAGATCCACGTTTGGCCAACATCTGGTCTGGCGGATCAAAGAGAGTTTCACATTTGGGAAGCAGATCAAAGAGAGTTCTGCGTTTGGTAAAAAGTCCCTTGTACCGAGAAGCCCACGATACAAGGCGTCTGGCGGATCAAGATAATCGCTGAGGAGAGGACACGAAGTTCGTGGTCCTTGTCTTGAGGAGAAGATTGTTATGGGACAATCCAAGTACCACATCGGAAATACAAGGGAAGTAACTCTTGTATATTAGTGTCCACCAAGCTCATCAGTATGAGGCCTTTTGGGGAGGACACCCAAGAGTAAAATCGTGCGGGCTTGGCCCAAAGCGGACAATATCGTACTAATGGAGCAGCCCGATTTCTGACATTCTTCAATCTTTCCTAGAGTTGGTACATGGGATTCCCATAGATCTCCTCTTGCCAAACATAAGAAACCATAGCTCTGACCTCAGGATTTTTGGCCCAACGAGCATCAAAGCGAAAAAGAGGCCGACAATTTCGGGCATAGGGTTTGTCTGACAGGAGTAGAGCCCGATGATCATATCCCTGGTCCGTAAAGTGTTTCACTAAGGTATCCGGGAATTGATCAATCCAAGCTTGTGAGCACAACGCCCTATCTAACCTTTCTCGAATACAAGCAGTACCCATTCGTTTATTTGTCCAAGTAAATTGATCACCTTAGAATTCGGGGTCATGAAGACCCAGTTTATGGACAAAATTACGAAGAGTAATAGACTGGGTAGCCTGCCATGGATTACCACCATCCTTCTCATTTGCATGCATCGTCACATTGAAATCACCTATAACCACAAAGGGCAGGTGGATTTCTTCACAAATGGTTTGAAGCTGAGCCAATTGAGTGGCTCTTATTGAATTCGAACAACTAATGTAAACACAAGCCAAAACATATGAAAAGTTTGCTTCATTAACTTGGATACAAATGGAAAAATCAGACTGAAAAATCACCGAAGCATCGACTTCGGGGGGACCAAGATACAACTAGACCACCAGATGCATTGACTGCATCAACAAAGAAACAACGAGAAGAAGAAAAACCCAAACCCCACATTCTATGGGAAACTACTCTCCTGGAAGACCTTGTTTCTGAAAAGAAAACAAGTTTCGGATTATTCAACCGAATTAGACCTAAAGCAGTTTGGAATGTGAGGGACGGTCCAACTTCTCGCACATTCTAGGCCAAAAGCCTCATTTATTCGCGTGGGGCCACTCAAGGCTGGCTTCCTCCACCTTCTCAGCATCGTCAACCACTTCCACAAACTGTCTCTTGGGAGAAGGGCTATCATCAATAGCCCCACCAATCTCATGTAAAGCACGTTTTTTACCATCCGGATTTGCATCAAGCATATTAGTGCCATATTCATTGAGCTTCAAAATCATAGTGGCATCATCCCCATTCGGCGATCCAGGAGGCACCAAATTCCTTTGTTTCTGAGCCCTACCCAGGACAACAACAACTCTTTCTTCCTTGTCCAACCAAACTGCTTCAAGTGCATCAACCACCTGGAGAACATGGCCGCCGCGTCTTCGTAGCTCAAAAGTGTGTTTCTCCACCCTCGCCCCCGGACTGGCAGCATCACTAGCGGACAGAGTAGCCTCAGAATCGGTCAGGGCCTGATCATCTATCCTGAACTCGACTAGCGGGTGTTCAAGCGGTGACTGAGTACGGGTAGGAGAAGGGTCCACAGGAGCATACATGCCTTGAAACTTTGGGGACCAATCCTCCTCAGAGTCTTCTGCCAGTACCTGCATTAAATGAGACATTTGGGTCAGCTCTTGCTGGGACGTGACACACATGCCAGCGCTAGAAGAAGTCTCTCGAGGTCTTCCTGGTCGCTGATTGGGCGCGTAAGATCTGGGGGCTGGGGGTATGTCCTTCCCATTAATCTCGCCATTAATTGGGTCAGGGACATCATACAGCTTGCCCTTACCCTCCTCGGTCGCAGGAATGGTATGCGTTTTCCTCAATGTACGGCGGTGGCTCCCACGATTCTGAGTGGACTACATGGGGAGCGACACCGGGTGAGTGAATCCCTCATCTTCATCCTCGAGTAGCAGCTTACGTCGCCGATGTGGGTTCGCCACTATTGTATTAGCGATTGGGTTATTCGGTAGCTTAGCCTCCAGTCCCGCCTCCCTTGATTGCTGGCTGGAGCTGTGACGGGAAGCTCGTGATCTAACTTCCCGAGGGGCCCTGTTAACATTTAATTCATTTCCACGTGGCTAAGCAACCGACATGGCTTTGCGCACTCGACCAGGTCCGACAGTAGTTGCTAATTTCCCTGATCTATCACCCACAGCGTGTTTTTGCCCTGTCAGTTGAGCTATTTTAGGCGACCGAGCCACTTGGAAGCCTCGAGGTCTCCACTCTCGACGAGCTTTATCTTTCTCCTTCGACGAGGGCAACACTAGTTGGGTAGGTGTATCCAAGTGTCCCTGTTTCCCTAGAAGGTCCGAGTGCATCCCGCCATCACCCTCACAGGGGAGAATTCTGGCCGGCACACTCTGATGGGTAATCTGCTCCTTGTTCACCTAGACAGATCGTGGTGGACCACGACACGGTGGGTTCTTCCTCAGCTTCATCATATATTTTGATCCCCAAGTTTTTGGTGGACATATGGGGACCGAATTTCTCTTTGCGGGCTGGGGGAGCAAATTAGCAAGCACGATTTGTATGCCCCCACTCTCCCACAATGAAAGCAGAAACTCGGTAGGTATTCGTACTTCACATTGACCCAGAAACAACCCGTCTCCTCACTAGCCGCCATAAGTTGCGATCTCAGCGGTTTGGTGAAGTTGATCAACGCTTTCACCTTGACAAACAGACGATTAGTTTCCTAGCAAGCAAACACCCTAGCTTCAAGAACATTCTCGATTGTGGTAGCCGCCATCTTTCGGCCGAACTGCTGAGTGCAACAATCTTCTTTGATTCCCCAGAGTTGAACACGGATAAGGACCACAGCAAGGTCATCGAATGTTCTTCTGGTGACATTCGGGGTCCAGGTCGTCAGATGGAAGATCTTGTCCTTCAAGATCCAAGGCATCCTCTTTAAGACCCAGATCTTTGAAGCTTCATTTGGGAGAACAAATTCGAAAAGGTCGTATCGTGATTCCGACACCCTGATTTGGTCTTTCCCTTGCCATGGAATGTTGACTGCATCTCGTGCCTCAGCCACTGTGAACTTTCTGTTTGTAAAGACTCGCCCCAGCAAAGTACGGGAGGCCTTGAAAGTTGAGGATTGGACTTCCTCCAGCGAAAATTGGACGATTTGATCTTCTGTAACATGGGCCATTGTTCCTTCCTGAGGAGACAAAGAGAGTTGAGCTTCTGGTCCCTAGAACCCACGTGCTCTCACTTGAAATGTAGAAGAAAGAAGAAGGGGATTACGGTTGAATCGTGGCCATGCAACGCAAGCATATAAGCATGGTGTTTCGAAAATTGACGCATAAAACTATTAATAAAAACCGGGGAACGAATATGCAGTGGGTGGAGATCTTTAACCATCTTACCTCGGCTACGATGACACCTTTGCACACACCCAACAGCGTCAATCGCAATTCCCCTTTGTCTTCCGAGTCGTAGAACAAAGGGGGTGGAGTTACTGCTAGGTTTTAAAGGGGTCAGAGACCCTAGTGTCATCTTCCAAGTAGGACTCAATTGGTGGTTTATCTCCAAGATTTTACGTTGGGGAAAAGGATTTTTTCTGGTTAAAGATATATTATTGAATATCTTATTGTTAATTAACTGAATTTGCAACCCCCTTGGCGTAAAAACCAGAGAAGATCAGAAAGGGATCCCACCGACCCTATCGTTTCCGGAAGCGCGTATTATGGGTTCGCCAACCGTTTTGTCGCCGGCCCGGCAAGTAGCAGCTGACAGACGTGCTATCCCTGTTGTCGATTCCATTAGGTTCACTGGAGATTCAGTCTCTGGAGCGAGGGTAAAGTCCCTTTTATCCCCGTGGGGTTCACGGGAGGGGCCGATGGACGACCCCAAACGGCATCCAAACGATGTTATAGAAATCTCGTCAAGTTTCAGGCTAGGTGGATATAGGGTATTACCCAACCACCCTTCTTCGAACAGAACTCTCTCTAGTAAAAATCTCCACAAAGACATATTTTGACACATGCAAATTCTTCCCGTACCCAAAAAACTCCACGAAGACATATTTTGACTCATGCAAATTCTTCCCGGAACGGGAGAGGAATTCCCTGGCGGTCGGCGGGAGTTTCGGGAAACAGGCGACTGGCGAAACGTCGAAAGGACAACACTTCAACCCACTTTCTTATTTTATTTTAATGTAATTATTAAATAAATAATTTGTGTAATTACCATCTTGTCCTTCATTAAATGAAATTAATTAGAACCCTTTAGTTTTAATAAAGTTGAAGGACTGAGATCGATTTAGTCAAGTCTCCTTAGTCCTCAGTCCTCACCACTCACCAGATCTTAGTATTAACCCGCCCCGCCCCATGTAGGGCTGCAAATGAGCCAAGCCGCTCGCGAGCAACTCGGCGTTCGAATCGGAAAAAACTCGTTCGACACTCGACTCGTTATTTAACAAGCCGGCTCGCGAGCCAACTCGTTAGTTAACGAGCCAAGCCTGAGCTAGACCATGCTCAGCTTGATAAGCTCGCGAGCTAGCTTGATTCGGTGGCTTGTCGAGCTAAGCTCGCGAGCTGCCTTGTTTTGAGCTTGTGGAAGGATGAATTACTCTTCTAAACATGAACATTGTCTTATAATACAGATGTGTATGAAATTTAGATGTTATTTCTAGTTTCTAGTGTTCTTTCTATCATTTAAATTCTTATGTTTATACATTTTTCCAGCAAAAATGATTTTAAATCGAGCTCATCTTGAGCCGAGCTTGTACTCAGCTTAACAAGCTATGTTAATGAGCATTTATTGAGCTCTACCGAGTCGAGCTCGAGCTAGATTATTTTTATTCAAGCCGAGCTCGAGCTCGAGCTGAAAAATTAATAAACGAGCCGAGCTCAAACTAAGCAAAAACTCGACTCGACTCGGCTCGTTTGCAGCCCTAGCCCCATGCCATCATCAATCAGGCCCTAACAAGCCAACGACAACGACCACCACTTCTCTTGTCTCGTCTCTGCCCCCAGCTCCTGCGCTCCACAGCTCAAACTAGTGTTCACTTTCATTTCCCTCCGACAGCGGCGACGAAAAGGGAATCCGAAAGCTGACATATAGCGGGCGCAGTCGGCGAGGTCATCCGAAGCATCACTTGACGCCAAGAACAATGGGTTTCTTTTCGTTCCTCGGTAGAGTTCTCTTCGCCTCCCTCTTCATCCTCTCCGCCTGGCAAATGTACTCTCCCTCTCTTTCTGTTCATTTTTCAGATCTATTGTTCGTCGATTCTCTTTTGGATTCTGCTCTGGATCGCCCTGTTTCAATTCTTCTTGAAATGTTGAATTTGTTTCCATATGTGGTGTACCGTTGCATTTAAGGGATTCAGGGGATTCTCGTTTGTTTACATCGTTTCCCCTGTTCTAGAAATAGGAATGAACGCATATTTGTCATTACCTGGAACAGCTGACGATCCTCAGCTGGGGTTGGTTCTTTAGGCTCTCTTTTTCACTCGCCTGCTTAGATTATTGTTGTGGCCTCTGTAGTGGCGATATCTGGTTAATTTGTTTCTGAAAAGCTAGTGTATCAATGAAATCGTGCCATGATCGTGATGGCTTGCAACATTCCGATTTGATCTCAAAGGTTGGATCTTGGAAACTGAATGGTTGTGACCCATATCGGTCATCATTTTATTTATAATGTCCCGTATATTGATTTCAGTGGTCATAATCTGTCTTTGTTTCTTCGATGTGATCTGCTGTTCTGATCTGCAAGTGTGGTAGTCAATTTAGATGTGAAACTAAAGAGCCTAGCTTGGTTTATGTTTGTACTGGATTTGCTAACTCAGTTGTTGCTTAATCTATTAGTGCCTTGGTAATGTGAAGCAGTTTCAGTTTTTGAAACATCTTCGTGGGTTTGAAGAATGACATTTTGCGGTGTGTATATTACTGTATTAGGTTCGACGAATTTGGGGAAGATGGTGGCCCTGCTGCTCAAGAATACATGTCGAAGCTTTCCGTGGTGAAGCACCATCTTGCCACTACATTGGCAGTCAAAATGCCAGATCTTGATGTAAGATTTGTTTATTTTGGTGAAGATCTCTCACTTTTTCTCTCCTGTTCTTTGTGATGGAGACCATGGTGAACCATTTTGTTCTTACTCACTACCATTTTGCTTCATCGATAGGCTAGGCATGTTGTTGCTGTTAACATGGTTCTCAAGGGGCTCGGAGGCTTCCTCTTTGTGTTTGGCACCCCATTTGGTGCTTATCTCCTGGTGAGGGCTCCAGTAAATAGATGGCAATTGTTTGGTGCTTATATCTTTTAACCATTAGTAATGAACTCTATCTTGACCTTGCACTGGTACAGATATTCTACTTGGCTGTTAATGCCCCAATTCTCTACGACTTCTACAACTACCGTAGGGGCGAGATTGAGTACTTGATTCTCTTGAATGAGTTCTTGCAGGTTTGTTATGAACTCAACTGCTCCTAAAACCTTAAACATCCTCTCTATGACATCCGATCTCTTAATGTTTGCTTTGGTCTTTTGATCTTTCGACAGAGTGTAGCTCTTTTTGGTGCATTGCTGATCTTCGTCGGGATGAAGAACTTTATCCCGAGGAGGCAGATCAAGAAGAAGGCAGCTCCCAAGGCCAAAGTTGGTTAAGGCACACATCAAGAAACTCATCGTATCTGAAGCTCCTGAACATTATATTTAGAAGATTAGAGTGCCTGTAGTTCTTTGGTTATTTTTTGTGCTCTTCTCTGATTTCCACACATTGTAGGCTTTTTCAGTCATTCTCCTGCAGACTCAAGAACAATAGTGTCTCTCTTTTCCTAACGAGAATGCATAATTTTATTGAACCCCTGATAATTTATCATTGCCAATGTACTTGCATCTTTCTGCAACCCAGATAACTAATAATTACCCTTTCAAACAAATACAATCACTAGTCTGTCCAAAATGAGTATCGAGTTGACCATGATGGGAGGAAAAAGAAAGGGGAAAGTGGACTAATGGGTGTTAAACTGTTAATTATTACTAGTGGCTTTAAAATATCCTAAAAAAAAAAAAAACAATAGATAGTATCTAGCACAATAGAACCATATTTAATTTCTAGACATTTCTGCTTGCATAATCTTCAGCCTTCTTCTACACAATAATCTTTCAATTAACATGGTGTCTCTCAATCTCCGTATCTGTTTGTCCATGAGGTCAGCTTGTTCTAGATACTCTTCTGATGCTTTTTCTATAACGAAATTTGGAAATTGTATAGATGAAATAATTCTGATAAAGGTACGTGGGATTCGAATTCCCAATCTCATCAAACTAACAGAGCTATTCTCCACTGGAAATCAGATGTATCAATTTTAGAAAACACCCTTTTGCCTCTAACTATACTAGTTTGGTACCCGGTCCGTTGGCCGGGTAAATTTTGTTTGAAATATGTACTTTGGTAATTTTTTCCTCCTAAGGTGTCTATTTTGTTCAGTCTGTCATTGTCCTCTCTCATTTCAAATCATGTATACCTTTGAGTCCGACCAGTTGGCCGCTAAATGATTTTTTTTAAGATAAATTAGTTTGTACTGCACGACAATATTTTAGCACCCATGAAATTGTTGTGCATTATTATTATGATATTACAAAATTAAACATTGATATTATTTAGTAACTCAGTAGAATAAGAAATTTGTTCTGCGATCTATGTTAGTATATACTTTATGGCGGTACAATTGAATGATATTGATATAGTTTCGCAACTATCGAATAGGAACATGCCTTGTATATATATGATTGTGGCTAGGTTTAAAAAAAACACATATCAAAATGGATATCCTTGTGTAGATCACATAAAATCTGATTTTTTCGCGCAATAATATTTAAATTTGGAGTTGAAGCGAAATAAATATGAATCAATTAAGAGTAGTAGGGGAGATTTAAAAATAAGAGAGAGAGAGAGAGAGAGAGAGAGAGAGATAAGTGGCACATTCTGATTGAGGTATAGAAAAACTTAAAATAAAAAAAAAGGAGTTAAGAAAAAATCTGATTGATCAGAAGGGTGCTGACGTGGATGCGTAGGAGGGCTGGAATTTTGAAATGGTGAAGGTAGTTTTTGGAAAAGCCTTTATATATTTTATAGATATATATTTTTTATTATCGTTTGGTTTTGAGTTAATACCTTATTATGACCCGAAATATACAATAATAATCAACTTTCGCACGTGGTTTCAGAAATTGCCATCCTTGTCTCAACTTTCCATCATATAGACTCAATTGGCCAGACGCGTGGTTTGATGGGCAATTTGGACGGTCAACACCGTTGACTAACGGAGTAACGATCCAACTCACTGCCATGTCAACACCAAAATTAATAAAAATTCAAATTCAAGTTACAAAAAATGTTGAAAAATAATAATAAATCAAACAAAAATTAAAATTGATTATCCGATAAGATAATAAATAATGGTAAAAAATTATAAATCAAACAAAAATTAAATTTTTTATTATCCAATAAGATAATAAATAATTGTAAAAGAATAATAAATAAATAATTTTATTATTATTATTTGAATGTAATTTTTTGTTTTTTTATTATTATTTGAATTTAGTTTTTATTTTATCTATTATTTTTTGCCATTATTTATTATCTTATTAGATAAAGGTAATAAGAAAATAATTTGTACTTTCAATTTTTTTAAATTTTAGTGCTGACATGACAGTGAGCTGGACAGTTGACCATCCAAATTGACGATCAAACCATGTGTTCGGCCAATTGAGTCTATATGATGGAAATTTGAAGCAAGAATGACAATTTCTGAAACCACGAGCCGAAGTTGATTATTAGTGTATAGTTCGGGCCAGCCTTTGGTTTTCATCAATGAAAATGGTTAAAAAGAATGACCACTGAACAATTTTTATCTCCCATGCATTAATGTTGAATTTATTTAGGCTAAATCCTACAATTTAGCCTGAATCCCATCTGTAACAGCTCCCACAACGACACACAGTTCAGGATACAACCCCTTCCTCATCTTTTGATACACCTCTCCATCCCACTTCCTCGCTCCCAGCCGCTCAGCAAGCTCCATTGCCGCCACTCTCAAGCTCTGCTCGCAACCCCACACACCATCCACTATCCCCATCTCCACCGCCTCTCTCCCCTTCACCTTCTGCCCTCTCAGCAAGATGTCACGCCGGGCCAGCCCCGACCCGATCTTGGCTCGAAACAGGACGGTGAAGTAGTCCGGCAAGCAACCCCCGAGGTCGATCTCGCTCATGTAAAGCACACCTCTGTCCTCCCTCATCAGCATGTAGTCGTGGCTCAGGGCCAGCACGAACCCTGCCGCCGCGGCGTGGCCCTGGACCACGGAGATCGTGGGGATGGGGAAGGAGACGAGCTCAGCGACCACGAGCCGCAGGGACTCCACCATTTGGGAGAGTCTCGATAGGGCCTTGACTCGACATCCTGCGGCTAAGGCCCATGGGAGGTCGAGTCCGTTGGAGAAGAATTTTCCTTGTGAGTTTGTGATGAGAACGGATCCGCTTGTAGCTACGGACTTGACTCTGCAGAGAGCCGAGAGGATTGCGGCGATGAGAGTTGGGCTGAGGCGGTGTTGGTCGTTGTTGCCGGTCAGGGTTAGGATGAAGAGGTTCGAACGCTGCTCGAGGGTGCACATGGTGAAAGAATGGGAGAAATGAGGGAGTCAATTAGAAATTCCATGTATAAATAGGCTATGGGCTTGACTACTTGTTTAGGCCATTGGCTTCAGTTGTTTAGGGGTCGTTTGGATAATCCAAATCCATCACTAGTTGGAATTTGATATATAGAATCCATCATTAGGATTCTGGAGGCATAAATAAATCTACAGATTTGAAATTGGTTTTAGGTATGGGTGGCTATACGGTCCGGTCCGGTTAAATTGGCGCAAATTGATTCGGTCCAGTTCGGTCTTTTTGAAAATATAAGGACCGAAGATTGGATTGGATATAGTCCGGTCTTGATCTGGTCCGGTTTTGATCCGGTCCGGTCCCAATTCGGTCTTGATTTTACATTGAGATTGTGGGATTTGAGTGGCCTAAGGCCTTAAAGGGTGAGGAGTTTGTTAAGTTTTGTACTAAGTGCAAAGGTTTGTGACCGTTTATGCAAATTACCCTTAAATTTTGGGTGTTGAGATCTCTTATCCGGTCTTTATCCGGTTTTTACCTCAAATCTAAGCCCAGAGATTGGATTGGATTGTTTACTATCCGGTCCCGGTCCGATTTCCGGTTTTTAATCCGGTCCCGGTCCAAATAGCCACCCCTAGTTTTAGGTACCAAATTTGTGAGCTCGGTTTTGGAAATCTTATCTAATTTGGTGAGATTTGAGAAAAGAGATCAGATCTCTCATGTTAAATAAATCAATCCTTTCATAAAATCTAACATCCAAATAATACCTTTCTTAAATTTTCGAATGAATGAAATCCATCACCAATCTTTTATTTTCTAAATTTTAGAATTTCACACAAACATTCGATTTTCAAAATTCATGATCCAAACGACCCTTAGAAGGGCAAACATTTTCTTTCTAAGGGAATCTTGCCATTGTACGGCTCCGGAATCAAGATGCGGTCTAATTTTGTAATTAATATATACTATAGAATGAGAATGAACATAGATAGTATCTTTTTTTTTTTTCTTAGGGAAAGCATGGAGCAGGAGCACACCTCCTATGATTTTATTAGTGAGACAAATAGCAACATAGATAGTATCATTATGTAGAAAGTAATATTTTCATAGTTATGTGTGAAATAAAATTATCATTAGCTCTTTAACTTTTGTACTCTCCAAGAGATAATTTTCAGGCATCGTTTAGAGTGCAGCTAATGCATTAAGGCTTTCTTGTATCATTTCAAACCACAAATATGATTCTAACAATCAATATACATACCTCATATATATGATATGAAAATATTGACCAATAATTAGTACAATTATTAATTAACAAACTTTAAACTCATTATCATACTTATAATCAAGTAATCAAACATCAATTTAATCATTATTCATGTAGACGCATCGTGATTAATCATATGTACATATGGAGACTTGGAAGGTTTTGTGGCCGATTGGCCGCCCGGCCGCCCCGAGGAAAAGAATCGTAATTGACTTGAACATATACCAGTGGACTTACTCGGTTGGATCTTGTAGGGGTAGGTAATTCGGCTGGCCAGACTGGATCGGATAAGTCGATTGAATATTTCATCTAGACGGAGACTACATTTACATGTTCAGCCGAAAGATCCGAGACAGAAACAAAAAAAATCGCCTACATAATACAAGCCCATACAGTAATTGGGCTAAGCTTAGCCCACGATGATATCTACTCTACTAATTCACTGGGCTGGGCTGGAAAGATGGACACGTCCATCTTCACAGGATCCGCCTCCGCAGAGAACAGCTGGAAGAGGCACATATCTCCCTCTCCCAAATTTTGTCTTCCATGGACCTTCCTAGGGATGGGAATGGGTCGGGTAGGATCGGGTACTCGGGTTTTGCTAAACACAAACCTAAACGCATGGGTTTATCCGTGAAAAAACCTCGGGTAAAACCCACTGGATTTGAAAAACTCAAACCCAACACAACCCGCTAGGTATCCGCGGGTTCATGGGTACCCACGAGTTTTTGTCGTAAAAAATTTACAATAACAAGTTCCTATCAAAATCAAAGTCAAATATCAATCTCTCAATACAAATTATCCATATATAAAACACCATTCTAGAAAATTCAAGCAAATCACAAATTAACTATACAAATTGTTCAACACCAATCTAGAAAACTCAAGAAAATTGAAGCAAATCACAAATTATCCATAAATAACATGATTAATTGAAGACTTTTTCTTTTCAATTAAGTTTCTTCACTCTCCACTCTATAAAATCAACTTCATTCTACACAGTTAGAAAGAAAAATTAGACATGTCTCCACAAACATAAATAAAATTTGTTGTTTAGAATATTAAATATATCGAAAAAATTAATTATATGGGTGTGGGCGGGTACCCATGGTCCGGGTTTACCTAAACCCAAACCCAACCCGGTGAATAGTGAACGGGTTTAAACCCAAACCCGGCCCAAAACCCGTCAACACGGATTTTACCCACGTTGACCGGGTTAGGTTGGGTGGGTACCCGTGGATTCGGGTTTTGTTGCCATCCCTAGACCTTTCCCATTCCATTGAGCAAATGATTAACATTGTAATTATCAAATCAAATAAGACTAAATTCTATTAACCATGAAATAAAATATTATAATCAAACCATTCAAACTAATATATCAATCAAATAAATTAAACTAAAGTTTAATTGGGTTGGTTAATTGGTTAATCAAATTAACCAATATATCATCAATTCTCACTAAGTAAGAAAAACTTCCAGTTAATGCAACATTTCGCAATTTATATAAATGAATCCAACACATAACAATCAACACATAATTATAGTTAACCATTAACATAAACACATACAACTAATACAATTATCTTATATTCAATAGAAGTATATATTCACCTAACAAACATACATGTCAATGATATGGGCTGATGAATTGTTGTGTTTGTCTAAATTGACTTAGTTTCTTTTGCAATTATCATAGGTTGGAAAAGATCTTACTTTCAAGTTTTTATCAAATATAATGTATGAATTTTATCTAAAAATTAAACATATATGTTAGGGTTTACATTCTACAAATGCAAATATAGAATATAGGAACAATATTGAGTTTTAGTTTTCATAATTAAAAGGAGCAACGTTTGGTTGTTTAGTTGTTATGTACAATAAATAATTGTAAATAGTTTGTACCACACTTAACTTTAGTTTTAAAAATTATAAATTTCCACTATATAATATTATTTTTCTTAAATATTTTTTCATGCTCTTTGACTCTTCTCTTCTACTCAATTAGGTTCTCATAACCTATTCAAATAAGTATAGTTAATTGATTAATCGTCAGTTATTATTTGAATTCTCATCTTTTATTTCATCTTTCTATTTGAAATCATTATAACTCTTTATTTTAAATAATTTTTTGAAAATAATATATTTTTTATTTATATTTCAAAGAAAAAATTGAACCGCATTTTATTTATATAACAGAATCTCTACATTCTCAGAGCAGGCGCTGCCCAAAACCATCGAATCTATCATAAGTATATATATATATATATATATATATATATATATTATTTTAAAGAATCTTATCATAAGAATTAAAGACCAGGCTTTACCAAGAAAATTAGCAGGTACACAAAACACTGGAAAACCGAGAAACCGAGGATTCGGAATTTCGTACCAAACAAAGGCAAATAGAACAAAAATAGCCGTTCAACCCAGATCTCCGAAAGACGGAAAAAGAAGACAAAAGATGGAGTACCTCCATAGAAGTGGGAGAGTCGACTGTGGTCTGTGGCGAGTTCGCCCAAGAAGAAGTATTGATGATAACGAAAAAAAGGAAAAGATCGATCGGCGTCGCCGAATGGCCGGCAAGACGGCGATCATGTCTCCGGAGTCGCAGAAGATTCATCGTAGATCTTTCCATCAATTGGGTTAACTAGTTGGGGTATTTTCGTGAAGAAGAAGATGATGATGATGATAAACTACGGTGGGCAGGGTGTGGGTAATTTTTTCTTTGTTTTAACATTTTCATCTCTTGTATTCATTACTTGAAAAATAAAGTCTGTTAGATGAAGTTGTTTGGTTTTCTTCATTGTATATGAAACCGTACCGGATATCGTACTGGAAAAATCAGCGGTAAGATATTTTATAATAAAATCGTGGTTTAATTGTAGTTCGACCGTTAGATCATTAAAAACCGTCTACAGATGTAGCCTCCGATACTGATATTTCGTGGTTCAACCGTCAGTATGGTACGGTTTCATGGACCATGGTTTCCATAAATGAAAATAAAATAAAAAACTTGTTTTTACAAGTTATACCTTTTTAACTTTATGTTAAGTTGTACCATAACATAAATGTTCAAAATCACTTAATGTATAACTTCAGTTTATACTTTTTATAATATAACTTAAAGTTGTAATCTAATTATTTAAAGCACAAATATTTTAAAACATCCGTACAAATGTTCATGAATGAACGAATGACAAGTAAACATGCTCTTAGTTTAGCGAAATACAGGCCTTAATTGGAGAAAACCAAATACTATTACAAGCCCTACAATCAAGTCCAATCAAGATGACCAACAAGTCCGAACTCCCAAGGTCGGAAATCAGAAAGGCTATTATTTTAGGAACATATCTCCCATGCATCAATGTTGATTTTTCGAGACCAGCTGGCTTTCATGTTTCATTACAATTTAGCTGGAAGAATCCGACCTTCCACAGCTCCCACAACGATGCAGAGTTTTGGGTACAACCCCTTCCTCATCTTTTGATACACCTCTCCATCCCACTTCCTCGATCCCAGCCGCTCAGCAAGCTCCATTGCCGCCACTCTCAAGCTCTGCTCGCAACCCCAAACACCATCCACTATCCCCATCTCCACCGCCTCTCTCCCCTTCACCTTCTGCCCTCTCAGCAAGATGTCACGCCGGGCCAGCCCCGACCCGATCTTGGCCCGAAACAGGACGGTGAAGTAGTCCGGCAAGCAACCCCCGAGGTCGATCTCGCTCATGTAAAGCACACCTCTGTCCTCCCTCATCAGCATGTAGTCGTGGCTCAGGGCCAGCACGAACCCTGCCGCCGCGGCGTGGCCCTGGACCACGGAGATCGTGGGGATGGGGAGGGAGACGAGCTCGGCGACCACGAACCGCAGGGACTCCACCATTTGGGAGAGTCTGGATAGAGCCTTGACTCGACATCCTGCGGCTAAGGCCCACGGTAGGTCGAGTCCGTTGGAGAAGAACCTGCCTTGGGAGTTTGTGATGAGAACGGATCCGCTTGTAGCTACGGACTTGACTTGGCGGAGAGCCGAGAGGATGGCGGCGATTAGAGTTGGGCTGAGGCGATGCTCGTCGTCGTTGCCCGTCAGTGTTAGGATGAAGAGGTTGGAACGCTGCTCGAGGGTGCACATGGTGAAGGAATGGGAGAAATGAGGGAGTCAATTAGAAATTCCATGTATAAATAGGTTATGGGCTTCACTACTTGTTTAGGGGTTGTTTGGATAAGGATTTGGATCTCAAATTCAACAGTTGTGGAAATTGATAGAATCCATCATTTGGATGCATAAATCCACCGATAACTTTTTAGATATCAAATCCATGAGCTCTGTGGATTTAGTATTTGGGAATCTCATATAATTTGGTGTAGGGGTGTGTAGCAGTTCAGTTCGCTTCAAATCGAATCAAACTCATCAGAATCACGATCCATTAATGAAAGATATCTTCAGTTCGCTTCAAACCTAAACAAGAACTACTTAACTAAAAGACAAAAGTCTTTTTATTCAATCTTAAAGTAGTCTAACTAATTGCATCTCTAATCTTCCATTTTTATCTCCAGAGTGCACGTTGGACCAATACCGATTCTGCCTTGTAATACTGATCAACGCATTGCATGCATCAAAAGCTCTTTCTCGGGATTCAATATAGGGTATATCGTGATCTATCTTCCAATCTCCATAATTTCCACTGTTCATTAGAAATGAGTTTAACAAAATGACACTTACTCCAAGAACTAGTGCCATAAAACAAATGATTCTTTTTTTATAAAGGAGAAATAGATTACTAAAAATAAAATAAGAAAGCAATACAGCAGCAAAACGAAAACCCACACAGCTCAAAAGGAAAGAAACATAAAGCAAGAAGAAGGAAGCAAGGGGAATAAAACAAATGATTCTTAAACTTGCTAATTTGCAGTAGTGTTGTCAGACTTGGCAGAAGCATCTGTGATGTCATTTATTCGCATCTTCTCCATATCTGAAACATTAAACAAGAAAATAAAACATAATATAAATACATGGTTCATAGTGTGTAGGTAAAGTAAGCATCTCTCTTGATCGAAGCAACGCGGATGAGAACTCTGATTAGAGGGTAGGACTATAGGAGCGGGAGCGGCGAGTCAAAGTCAGGAAAAGTCAAATCATATTTATAGGTAATTAAGTGGCATGTAGGGTACTATGGTTTTCAACTCCAAGTCGACTTTCCTTCTCGGAGCCTAATAAAATAGACAATTAATTTAATTACGATTCGGTCCGGTACTTAGCTTGATTTTACGATTTCGGTCTGGACAGAACCAAAATGGAAAATGTGTCAAACTCAGGAACCAAAGTCGTATCGAAAGATAAACAGTTCGATCCGATTCGGTGTGAGAATCGATTCGATCCGATTCGGTATGAGAATCGATTCGATCCGATGTGACTCGAATCGTTGCCCCGGTAGTTGCCATTGTGGAGGTCCTGCTCTGAATTAAAGATGTGGTCAAATATTTTTTTATATATATACAACTAGCTTTGACCCGGCCCGTTGGCCGGATTACTTTAAATTACCGACGCATTGAATGAGAGAGAGCAAAAGAGTTTATCCTCTCCAAGACTTTTACATTCAAAGTATTAATATTTGTATTTAAGAAATTGTTAAATATACTCCAAAATTTTAGACAAAATACTACAATACCTCTTATTTTTTAGTTCAATATGTACATCAATATCAAGAATAAAATATTAAAGTTTAATAGTCCATTCGAATGATTTGTTACCAATTTTATACATAAAAATATCTAAATTTACTATATATTTTAAATTTTATTTATAAAAGAAAAAAAAATAAAAGTACAATTATGTCACTCCCTCCTCAATCCCTATATTTTCCCCAAATGGCATCCTAGTACTCGTCTCCACGACTTTAGTGTTTCTCATCATCTTCATTAACCCTTCATTCCCTTCCGTCAAAAGCGTATCATCTAAAAAAACTATAGGATTCTAGTTCAAAAAATTCGTGTACCAATCCAGACTATTTCTAGATCCATGGAGACTTCAACAACCTCATCGAATCTATTTCTTCAAATCTAGTACAGAGCTCTTAATTCGATTGAGTTCACAACGCATGCAAAGAGGATGAATTTTATAGTCTTAGTCGATCGCTGGTGACTGACAGATAATTAGCTTGTTAATTTGAACCCTACATATAGCTTGTATTGTCATTAATTATTTTCCATTCTTACATTCACCCACCATATGTATGTCTTTCTCTAAGTGAAACAATGGCTCATTGTCTTTCGGTTGCATCTATTAATTTGCGAATGTTTTTCGAATTGCTCCAAGTTCGTATTTTTTCCTCTAAATTCGGAGCGCTAACACATGTCCTAATTTTGTGATTTAAGGATGAATTAATGTTGAGAAGGTGTAAATAATTTTAATACAATGAAAAAAATTTAAATCCCGTAGCCATAAACATTCGGATAAATAAGTCTCTTCCCATTCCTATCATCAATCAAGGTAAAAGATACTCCGTAAATGTGCTCATCACTTGATTTTGCCTATTTTATTAAATAAAAGAAAAAATTCAACAAACTACCACTAATATATATAACAAAATAATAAGTATAGTTCTTGTTAGACCCGATATGTCAAAAGATGACTTGACCGATAATCCAATAAACCTGATTGCACAAGACAGTGAAACTGTTCGCTCTCTGCCTCAATCCGTCACATAAGCCCACCCATGCACCTATATCCGGGAAGGACACGCTCAACTACATTACCAGTAAGACAACATTTTGTTTTTAAGCGAAAAAACTACTGAACCGCAAGACCATGCACCAGTCTATTTTGTCAGACTGATGGTCAAAAAATTTAAATGATTATAAGCTTTCATACATAATTACTCTGTAATATACAAATTACTTTAAATTACCAACACATGGAACTGGGGAGAGGGGAGTGAGCAAGAGCAAAAAGAGCATATACTTTCCAAGAATGGTACATAGGAAATACTAATAAAGCAGTAATATTTGTATCGAAAATTACTAAATATACTATTAAATTTTAGACAAACTACTACAATACCTCTTATTTTCTTAATTCAATATACACATCCAAATCAAGAATAAAATAACAAAGATTATAGTTCATTCGTATGATTTGTTACCTATTTTATACATACAATTATCTAAATTTGTTGTGTATTTTAAATGTTACTTATAAAATAAAAAATAAAACTATACTTTTGCCACTCCCGTCTCAACTCTCAACCACCAAGTTTTCTCAAATGACATCCTAGTATTGCGCCACACGGTCTTACTTGATGAAATAGAAAATTTCAACCAACTACCACAAATACCATTAATAATCAGTATACTTCTTGTTAGCCCCAATAAGCCAAAGCATGACCTGATCGGTAATCCAATAACCCAGATTGCGCAAAAAGCGCACTTACTCACTCTTGACCCCAATCAGCTAAATAAGGCCCAACAGACACCTAGATCTAGGAAGAGGGCGCTTAACGACAGTACCGATGAAACAATTGTTCCCACTTGAGAGAAAAAAAAAGTTGTCGAACCGTAAAGCCACATGTCAATTTGGCTCGTTAGATTGATGCTCAAATATTTTAATTGATACAAACCTTGGAACTGCTTAAAAGGAAAAATACAATGCCATAGATAGACATGCGTACAACTTATTATTAAATTCCCTCAGAGCATCCAGACACGACTCTCAATGCGCTAGACATAACATTAATGATGTTTAACTTATTTACCTAGTATAAATAGAGTTGAAGTCTCTAGGGATGGGAGACATTAATACACATTTTCTCAAAACGATCGATCTGAAATTATTCTTTATCTTAGCCTAGCCTGCACTCAGACTAATCAACTACCAAATATCAAATCATTCAATTATTCTCCCCCAAATCTTAACCATTTGATTCCATCCCAGAGTGAGATTGACTGTAGTGGGCACTAACCCTCAACAAATTGTCAATCAATTCAAACAGTAATAAAAATTTAAAACACTTCTAAATCACATATAAAATATTTCAAAAATCACAAATATTTTTAATAAACTAATTATTATATATGATAAAAAAAATCCGTTTAACCAATCGAGTGAGTGTATAGTAAGTTCATGGCTCATACCATTTTTTAATTTATCTAAAGAATCAAAATGCATAATCAGGTTCATCTTCACGCATTTACATGTCCTTTTTTACAAATTCATTAATACATCAAAGTATACAATTTTGAACCAACATTTTAAAATCAATCTCGTCTCATGATTGTTGGATCCAATCATGTCAGATTAGCAAGAGATTTAAGGCTAGTGGTTAACTAGACTAAAATATTCGAAGAACCATTCAATTATGATTTGCACAAAGATAAAATTGCTTCTTAGTAATTCTGAAAATTAATATCAATTTAAGAATTACACATCGCTTTTACATATATGCAATAGTCTCATTCTACAATGTATAAGTAACTTCAGATAAAATATAAATATAAAAGCACCAAACATATATTGAGTGATAATTAATGAAATTGCATCAAATACAATATATTTGAGTGTTCTTTCTTTACTTGAGTGACTGGGTACAAATCATGTCAAGCATTTTATAATTCTCTATGAATAAAACCATCAAGACCAATCTATACATGCATCTTTCGTATTTTACATCTCGTTCAATTTCCCACCAATGAATTTAAGCTAACTGCTAAATCACCTTATAAATTTAGACCCAAACTACTATAAAATTTATTAAATTTTTCAAATTGAAAATAATAAAACACACCAGGTGTAGAAAGATGATGCTACTGACATTCTTCTACTAAATTGCACTATGACTTTATTCTACTGACATTCTTCTACTGAAAATAATAAAACACACCAGGCTAGCATATCAGTCGTACATTATACGCCTGTCAAGTTTTACTATTTAGAGCCCGATTTAATCGGAGTTTGGGGCATGATACTATACCCTAACCTCTAATGGGTGAACCCTAGTCCCTAATTCCCTAACCCATGCCCCATGATTCATTTAATCTAAAAAAGTAATGACCAACGGTTCTGATTCAGCGAAATATATTGAAGTGGAAAAATCAAGTGTGAACACAAGCGTACAATGTACGTTAGTCGTACGCTAGCCTTTGCCATATAT